TCATCACCACACCAGACCAGTGATCCGTCTATCAATCTTCCATCCATTCTGCCCTTATTCGTAAACAGGACCCCAAGATACTTAAACTCCTCCACTTGAGACAGCAACATTCCTCCTTCCTGAAAGAGACAAGCCACTTTTTTTTTCAGTAGAGAACCATAGACTCAAACTCGGAGGAGCTGATTCTGATACCAGCCACGTCACGCTAGGCTAAAAACCATCCCAGTGCATGCTGTAGGTCTTGGGAGCACGAAGCCAGCAGAGCCACAAAAAGCAGGGACAAAATCTGCTGGTTCTCAAATCACACTCTCTCTGTCCCCTGGCTGCACCTAGAAATTTTGTCCATAAAGGTTATGAACAAGACCGGGGACAGAGGAAAGCACTGTTGGAGTCTAACATGCATTTGAAACAAGTCTGACTTAATGCTGGTGATGCAGACTGAACTCCTGCTCTGTTTGTACAGAGACCGGTTGGCCCCAACTAAAGGGCCCCCGACTCTGTACTCCTGGAGTGCCCCCCACAGGGCACCACGAGGGATACTGTCAATTGTCTTCTTCAGTTTCATAAAATAAATGTAAACCTGTTGGGCAAACTCCCAAGCACCCTCGAGCATCCTGCACAGATTGTAGAGCTGGTCCAGTGTTAAACGGGCAGGACGGAAACCACACTGCTGCTCCTGAAGCCGAGGTTCAACAGTCAGCCAGACTCTCCACCCCAGCACCCAAGCATAGGCCTCCCTATGGTTGGAACACAGTATCTGGTTTCCTTTCTTATGCAGGAGAACTGCCAACCCAGTCTGCCAGTCCAGGAGCATTGTACCCAACCTCCATGCAATGTTGAAGGGTCATGTCAGCCACGACAGCCCAACAACATCCAGAGAGCATCAAGACATTCAAGGTAGATCTCTACCAAGGTAGATCTCTTCCAACCTGATGCCTTGCCAATGTGGAGTTTTATTTTTACCCCCTTGGTCATTTCAGCCTGTGTGATGAAGGAATCCACTTCAGATTCATGTCTCCTCTTCCGCCACAGAAGGCATTTCAGCCCAATTAAGAAGTATTCTTTCATCTTTGCACCATTCGATGATGTCCTCTTTCAGAACATCATCAAAATGAAAACAGTATCGGCAAAGCCCTCCTTTCCCCTCTCGAGGCGCTGGAGGGGTTGCCAGAACAACTTTGAGGCCAACCATTAGACTTTCTTCATGCCCTTTCTAAACTTCTCCCAGTCTTTCCCTCTGCGGACTTTGGGCCATAGCAAGCTTGGTGTAAGCATACCAACAGACACCGCAAACTGCTTTGACGATAAAAGCAGAGAACATGGTCCACTCAGACTCCATGTCCCCATTCTCCACAAGAATATGGTGGAGCTCTCCTGGAAGTAGAAGTTGAACACACCTCTGACTTAGGGATACACCAGATGTTACCAGCAGACCCTCACTACTCTTTTGTGCCTGCCGATTGTGTCCAGCTTACTCCTTTTCTAGTGTATCCAGCTCACCACCAGGTGGTGTTTGGTGCACAGCTCTCCCTCTCTTCACCCAAGTGTCCAAGACATGCAGTCTAAGATCAGAAGGTACAACTACAAAATGAATTATTGACCCCCAGCCTAACATGTCCTGGTGCCAAGTGCACAGATAGACCTCATCATGGTTGAACATGGTGTTCATTATGGATTATCCATGACTTGCACAGAAGTCCAACAATGACACACCACTCAGGTTCAGAGCTGGGGGTCTGTTTCTTCTGATCATGCCCCTCCAAATATGTAACTTAAATAGATAAAATGTATGAAAATTGTTTAGCGATTAAATTTAAGACACAATATCACTTTTTTTATTTAAGGAAAATAGAATAAGTGAATGAAGAAATATAACTCTAAGGGTTATTTTTATGCAGAAAATACAAAACTGATAAGGTAAAAGAAACCAAACCAACACAAAAAATGAATAACAAAACCTGGACTTGTTGTACAATCAACATTTTTTCTCTTGAATGTATCCTGTACAGATATTAATTTAAATACTTTTCATACCTTTATATGTCAGAGCACTGATTTTATATCATTATTAATATGGCCAGAATTTGGGGATCCACTGTGGATGACCTAAGAAGCACATGCAGGTCTGTTGTACTAGCTGACAGGCTGTTCTCTCTCTTGTTAGGCATTCTCTTTTTTAGTTTTACCTGCGTCAGAGAACCTGATCGGAGTTTATGGAAAGATGTGTCCAAATACTAAGTAATCCTGAAAGAAAACCAGTTAGAGGCTACAGAGGACTTGAGACCACGGCAGAGTTTCTCATTCCAGCAGGGGAATGACTTTAAACATAAACCAAGACCTAAACGCAAGGATGTAGATCAAACCATATTCATGTGTTAGAATAGCTTAGTCAAAGTCTTGAATCAAATACAACAAAAACTTTGAGGCTGACTATTTTCATACTGGACAGGGTGAAAGCATTGGGCTAAATATTTAAACCCATCCTAGTTTGAGGTTCAACAATATTCTGCAATACGGCTTAATGACAATGTGGAGTCTCTTGTCTCAACAAAATTAAAAGAAATTGCTGAGGAACATGTTTTGTTGCCTTTAGAGGTTTCACTGCTATAGTCTTACACAATGAGCACGTAATCTTTACCTTTCTCACGCTACAAATCCTGCTTGTCACGCAATGAAACAAAACATGGCTGATAGAAATCATTACATGAAGGAAGCTGCCTAAAAGCACAAGCTCAGATAAGGCATAGGAAGCACAGCCACAGTGCTGTGTAAAAAAAAAAATTATAGACAGGGTCGTAAACTGCAACCATATGGGAGCCTGAATCATATGCCAAAACATAATTTAAAGTGGGGAAGAGCTATATAATTTTTTTGCTACATTTTGTTCAGCAGAAATAAATTACCAGCAGCACCACAATATCATCAATAACTTGAAAATAATAGGCCCCAGCTCTCACGTTTAAATTTGTACATAAGAGAATATCCCTAAAAAGACAGTAACAGGTGCAACCAAATTTCTGTGAAGTTGTATTTTACACAATAGTTCTGTCCTTGGCTTTGGAACTCCAGGACACTGCAGTGAGAGCTGTTGAGAGAAGATGTGAAACAGTGGCAGCTCTAACAATGATTCTGGCCAACCAAATTTCTACAATAACGCCTAGTTAATTCACCTAAAATGTAAAGAAAAGACCTCTGAGAAACGGTATTCAGCTAGACCCAGAGTTCATTTATAAGGTTTCTTGAAACCCTTTTTAATTAATTTGCTGGAATATTGGCAGGAAGAATGTTAGCAAGCATATGCAGGCAGGTTGTGACTAAACCAGTTAGTAAGAAGAAGATGAAGTAGATGAAGGCAGAAACCCCTGGTTACAGGCTGACTGACTGACTGCAGGCCTGAGAAAGTAGACAATGAATAAAAAGGCTGAAAGAAGGCTTTGAGAAATTTCAGATAATGATTGGTAGGCTGGAAGCAGGCTGTGAGCAGACTGGATACCGGCTGACAGGCTGGAAGCAGGCTTTGAGCAGACTGGATAACGGTTGACAGGCTGGAAACAGGCTTTGAGCAGACTTGATGATGGCTGACAGGCTGGAAGCAGGCTTTGAGCAGACTGGTGGACACCTGATAGGCTGGAAACAGGCTTTAAGCAGACTGAATAATGGCTGACAGGCTGGAAGCAGGCTTTTAGCAGACTGGATAACGGCTGACAGGATGGAAGCAGGCTTTAAGCAGACTGAATAACAGCTGAAAGGCTGGAAGCAGGCTTTGAGCAGACTGGATAACAGCTGACAGGTTTGCTGTACAAAACACAGTTGACAGGAAGAGGCATTTTAGAACATTACTATAGTCAGAAGCCAATGAGAATCCAGTGAGGAAAGGCTGAGCACAGGAACACAGAAGTATAGGAGGCAAGTGGTGTAAACTGACATTGACATTGACCAGTGAGGTCAGGGCGAACACAGTAAGACTAAAAGACTGGTGGTGCAAACTGATACTGGATTGATCCTCATACAGGAGAGGAAAATAAAAAAGATTGACAGGTATAAATAGGTGGAGTAACAGCTGGGAGAAAATAGATTGATTGGGAGAGATACAGGTGTATCTACTTACACTAATTAACAGAGTAAATTAGAGTAGAGTAGAGTAGAGTAGAGTAGAGTAGAGTAGAGTAGAGTAGAGTAGAGTAGAGTAGAGTAGAGTAGAGTAGAGTAGAGTAGAGTAGAGTAGAGTGGAGTAGAGTAGAGTGTTTGGCTGTTTTCCAAACACTGCTGATTCTGCAGAGTTCATTTTTGTAAAATTGTTCATAAAGAGGCAGCTTATGTAAATCTCCTGGTTAACATAACTGGAAAAAAAACTCACATAATTAGCTTAAACTTATATTGCTGCACTTCAACAGTTACTTCAATACAGTCCAAACCTCTACAGGAATCTTTTGTTCTGCATCTCATGCAACTGCTGAGCTGTGCTTATTTTCAGAGAAAATATTGTCTTTGTTGTCAGCCGGATATAGAGACTGGAAATCCTGGAATGCGAGGTCTAAACAGCTGCCTCAAGCTGAAAAGACAGAGCATAACATGCAGAGATCTGAAGATATCCAGCTAATTGACATAGACCAGGGCAATGTTTCCCCTCTACAAGTTTATAGCATCTAAAACACACCACCAAACCTCTTACAAGCATTGTTTTACAGCGAAGGCTTGCTTTTTGTTGACTTTAAAAGGGTCCAAAGGTGTGTTTAAGCTGCAGGGTTTCATCATGTTCCCTCTCGTCTTTTAAAAAGAATTGTGATTTCTTTGTATTAGAAGGAATAACTGGCTCACTGAATTACATCCAACCTTTCCCTGGAACACAACAGTGAAATAACACAATGTACTGTGAAAAATTAAATCCATCTGCCAGGCATGTTTTCTGACCGAACTTCATATTTGAGTGGCTCTCTCAAGACCCTCCCTTGTTCCTTCCTCATATTACAGAGGAAACAGTAAGAAAATTGTGAGAAAGAACTGGAATTCATGCATAGCTGAAAATGTTACATAAGGGTGCTTTAGTGTAGATCTGAGCTGTGCAAGTTCCAGTGATCGCAGGGAGATAAGAACCTGGTACAGGCAATCAGGAGGCTGGGTTACAAAGACATAAAGAGAGAGGAGAGCAAACACATTTCAAGAGACTGAAACATTTCTACAGAAGTTATGTTTGAGCAAAAGCTACTGAGAAAGGTGTGATTTTGGCTTTCAGATTTGGGAGGAAACTTTCTCTGAAAACAACAAGAAGTCCAAAGCACAGAGGTCTGGGAGGCAGGTAACAACGCAAGGAGGAGACAATGACAGTAACAAGGAAGTATACACACTGACTGTGGGCTTGCTTGTCACACAGGCAGCAAGTGTTGACAGTCTCACTTCTTTGTGTACAATAGCAAATCAGGCTTGAATGTTGAGTAAGCCAGCTGACGGACGAGCTGCTGTATTCAGAACTTCAGGAAGAACCATTGATTTCACTTCAACCTTTTCACCGCTGAACTTTTTTCATCTGGATTCGAATTTTTCCTCCTTGAGAAGTGTCGGTCATGGCAGAGGAGAATGAATTGTCCTACACGGAGGCTATAGAGAAGGCCGGCTCCACCATCACTCGCTTCCCTCTCATCCACATCAGGGGAGTTCCTCTCATGTCTTACATTGCCAAAAACTGGGACTCCATCTGGGCTTTCCGTCCTGACCCATCAGATGTCCTTATTGCCACCTACCCCAAAGCAGGTACAGTGACCAGGAAGAGGTGTTGTAGAACAAACAATGTATTTATCTATGATTCTCTCTAAACAAGAAAGTGTGATGAAAGCCTGCTAAGTTATTGTGTTAAAGAGACATTGTACTAGAATTGTAATTTATGTACTGTATTTTATATGTGTTTTAAAACTTTTTGGAGACTCAGTACATATCCAGAATAGGAAACTCTGTAAAGTAGTGAACTTTTTTCTGAAGTACAGAAAAACTCCTTAAGGAAATATCATCAAGATTTTGATGCAAAAGCTGCTGAAGCTTGATGCAGTAAGCATCAAGGTTAAGAGCTTACTATGTTAGCTTTGAGGGTTGGGGCTTGAGCCCAGGATTGATATTATTATGTCAAAAGTGAGGCTGAGGGCCAGGCTTTAAATTAAGGGGAAAAAACTTGCCTGCACTACCAATATGGGCACTCCCAAAGGCAGAAAAAAACGACTATATGTGCTCTACAAATAAACTCAGTCTCTGCCTCCTAAATGTACATAGCAGTCACTTAGAGCTCTCCTTGAGGGAAACTCTTTCTGTATTAAATATCCAGATTTCCCCCCCAAAACTCAGAGAAAAATATTTCTCTATTCCCAAACAAGATTTGCTCTCTTCATATCTTTGACTTTGTGTTCTCAACCAAACGTTGTTTTTGTTACTGTGCAAAAATGACTGTGAAGTGCAAGGACTGCATCAAGCTACCTCGTTAGCTAATTGGCAGAGTTTTACATAATACCTAAAAAAGCACAGGAACAAAACACTGTTGATGTCGTTTCATAAATCACAGCCTGCCACAAAATCAAAAGGCTCACATCTTGGAGTGGACTGATGAGTCACAGCAAATTAAGCAGACTGATAAAGGGTACCCCCTATGTCACCATATCTAAAGCTACCAAAGTAGATGCTTCCCTCATGAGAAAACAAAAAAAAAAAACGTAAATTAAGTCAATGGAATTAACATGTTCAGAGATGCTTTAAATTTCTGTAATCAACCAAAATGTATCCAATTACCTGTGAGCCTTAGTGCTCTGAGCTTTCATTCACTTTTCTTCTAACTCACTGTTATTTGGGACCTAATGCCATTATTGACTTTACAGATTTACTCTTCAAAAAATAAAGAAAATGTGGTCAAGTTATTATTTCCCAGTTGTGTGATAATGTTTCAGGGCTGCTGTAATATCCTGTAAGATGACAACTTTCCCAGATTTCCCAATGTAGCTAAGGTTGCTTTCTGATGTTTTGCCATTCACAGAAAATGTCTGAAGTCAATTATTTGCACTCTTAGATTCATCATCAGGTTCTGTGTCTGTTTTGGACCTTAGGGACAACATGGACCCAGGAGATAATCGACCTGCTTATTCACAACGGGGACGCTGAGGCTTGCAAACGGGCTCCCACCCCGGTCAGGAGTCCTTTCCTAGAGATCTATTCCCCTCCCCCAATACCTTCAGGTGTGCACTTCTGTCTGTAATTTAATTAGATAGTAAGGTTTTATCAACTTGTTTTTCTGTTGGCATTATGTCAGAAGCCTTAACTAAAGTTCATGGGATATGTTATCATAAGATTGTTTTTGTTTAACGGGTATAAGTGAGCTATTGATAAATATTCATTTTCCCTCAAAATATACCAGTACAAGTGTGTGGCTCAACAATAATAACTTCACAATGTTCTCTTTATCTCGCACAAAATAAAACTACAGTTAATGCTTTAAGTTTTAACCATGTGTTTTTTTGTTTTGCAAAGATTTTATACCCCTCAAATACCTTTATAATTTTCCTTTTCACTTTCCAGCAAACATCATTGTATTTCATTGGGATTTTATGGAGCTCAAAAGCAGCACGGAGTGCAAAGTTGTCAATAGGATGGGGAAAAAAATATGTTATGCTTTTTTTGCATGCATAAATTTGTAGTGCATTTGTATCCAGTGCCCTTAGTTAATGTTTAAGCCACCTGTCTAGGAACCCAAGTATTTTGAAGGCTCTGGTACAACCAGAGACAGAAACTTTATAAATAAATCCCTCAGGATTACTGGAAGTGTCCTGGGCGTCTGGGAAGATTTATCTTTTTAAAGTTTTGCCACTGATTCTCTCTTTGATTTTGTACTAGATTTGCCCCAGTCACTTTTAGACATATGTATTTTTGATTTATTGACCAACTTCAAAAAGAAGCATCAACACAGCATGATGCTGCCACCATAATCTGCCTCTGTTGGGAGGATTTGTTGTGTCAGCCCTTATCCCCCGCACTGTGTTATGCATGTAGATCTTTGTAAATCTTAAGTTGCTCCTGAATTTTTTGTTTTAGGTCTCGATCTTCTGAAAAAAATGGACCCACCAAGACTTATCAAGACACATCTTCCCTTTCAGCTGGTTCCACCTGGATTTTGGGAAAACAAATGCAAGGTAAAACTGAATCTCAGACAGACTTATCAGACCAATAACCTTAAAATCTCATCTACTACTTTAAACTAGCCAGTAAATTGTATTTTAATGGGGGTTAAAGTGCAGGTAACTGGATAGGAAGTCAACAATACATGCCTAAACACTATCTTCCCTATCAAATGACCTGCTCTCTGGTTTCCTGCTGTAAATATCTGATTATGTGTCTCCTAATCATGTGAAGGCTATCTACGTCGCACGCAATGCCAAAGACAACCTCGTGAGCTACTACTACTTTGATCTAATGAATAAGACCCAGCCTGAACCGGGACCTTTTGATGGTTACATCCACAAGTTTATGCGAGGAGAGTGTAAGTGGGTTGAAATGCATGCATCTGTTTTCTCCTTAAACTCAACAAAACAGGTTAACCACACTTTAACTCAGCTAAAATCACTTCAGCTTACTAATTAAACGGCCTCTTTCAGTTTCTGTCTAAACTTTAATAGTGACTTGTAACTTCTGGAACCTTTGCCCCCTTATTTTACATCTATCAGAGTCCCCCTCCCCTTACAAAACTTCTTATGCCTCACTAACTATGATGAGATTAGCACTAGCCTGCACAGCCAATATGAGATATAAATAGCAGTCAAAGAAAAACAACCCCTGCAGATCTGCACAAGAATTTCAGCTGAAGCTTTTAAGAACAAGATTTACTATTTACTCCGTCATGTTTAGCTATCAATACTGAAGCCGTTGTTTCTTTAGTGAACAAAAGTGAAACTAAATGGGGCTATTTTGGGCCAGGCATGTTTATTTGTAAAGTACTGTTTATGTATAAGGTAAAGGCTTTATAGAAGAGTTTATAAGAGAATCAACTGCTTTAAAATGATTGACAGCATTAAAAGATAAAAAAAATGTAGACATCAGCATGAAAACTCTTTTGACTTCCTAGCCACCTAATACCTGAATAAACACCCTTTAACCCTTCTAAAAATGATTTATATTGCTAACTTGGATTTGTCTCCACAGTGTCCTGGGGCTCCTGGTATGATCATGTTAAAGGTTACTGGGTTGAGCGGGAGGAGAAGAACATCCTTTACCTCTTCTACGAGGACATGAAAGAAGTGAGTTGAACATTTATGTATTAACTCAGGGCATCTTTGTCTCATTTTCAGTAGAACTATGCAATTTTTTTTCTTCTTTCTTGTTAATAATCAGTATTAAATCAACAGCATAAACATATTTTTACATTTTCACTATAATTATTATTTGAAACTACCTCACCCACTTACACATCTCTGATTATGGTATTTTAATAACTGTACAGCATATCCCTAATTTTGCCCTAAATGTTCAGTCAGTCATTATATATATATATATATATATATATATATATATATATATATATATATATATATATATATATATATATATATATATATATATATATATAAATATATATATATACCGGTATATTGCTGTTTTATCCTTTTTTCCAACCAACTAATTGATTTATGCATTTGTTTGTGGTCTGACTGTATATTGCACTCTGTTTATCCCTACAGAATCCTCGCCGTGAGGTGGAGCGCATCATGAGGTATCTGGACTTGTCCGTCTCTGATGAGGTCATCAATCGGATCGTGGAGCTCACATCCTTCAAAAACATGAAGGAGAACCCGATGGCCAACTACTCCTGCATCCCTTCACCTGTTTTTGATCAGTCCATCTCTCCGTTCATGAGGAAAGGTGAGTCAGTAAGCTCACATGGCAGCGATCTAAGCCCCAACAAGATTTACTGGTATCCCTATCCCTAAACCGTATAAAAAGCCTTGAAATATATATATATATATATATATATATATATATATATATATATATATATATATATATATATATATATATATATATATATATATATATATATATATATATATATATATATATATATATTCTTTTATCACCAAAATCTCACAATTTCTGCAGCTTTGTTAAGGTGCACTGATCGTTTATAGCTGCAGTGCCATTGTCCTCACTGTGCAGTCACATGGTGAATATTATTTTATCTAGCCTCGTTTCTCACATTTCCATTTACTCTGGATTATTGATTTGTATAGAAAAGTGTAATGATACCAATTAAAAAAGTGTGCTCTGGAACTTTCTTATTTTGAAGAGAGGCAAATAAATGTGGACTTTTGTGCCAAGCCATATTTCTATGTAGTAGCAGGAAGCCAGGAATGGAAATAAATGTTCCTTGTCAATCTGTTTATCCTAAAAAACTAAAGCAATTAGAATTTCTTTCATTTGAACCAATAAATATCGAGGAGCCTAAAAGAGATTATAAAATGTATAGAGCATACAGTGGGAATAATTACAGATGGAGATGTACAGTAGATGAAGATAGACAGCTGTATTTCACTTTAGGACAGTCCACTAGTGCCCCCTTGATTATTCACTTATATGTGCAGCAACCTAAAAGAAAGGAGGACTCAGCAGCAATGCTTACTAAACTTTATAAGTAGTAAAGGTATTAGATATTAAAAGCATCTAACTGAGTATGGTTAATTATTGTACAGCATTTTTTATTATGTTGAAAATTTGCTAGTTTCCTATTCGTATTCTTGTGTATATCAGCATTCTTCCATTTTGGTTTTTACTTTTTAGCTGTTGCCTGGCTTTTCCCTCTAAGGGGCATCAAAGGATACTTCACTTCATTCTGTTCTTACTGACATTATAAAATATTAATAAAACAGAATAACTTGTTCAGTATTTTCTGTTAAAATAAGAGATAGGGTTTCTGTAAATTGTTTCATTGATTGATATGCATTACTCAGAAGTAAAAAAAAATGTAGACAGAACCCTAAAGATGAACCACCAAATTAGAGAAGCTGAAAATATCATGGTTACCATTTTTATAATGGTAATGTCTGAAGAATCTTTTTTCATGTCCTATGGATCCATCTCCATAAGTCTTTATATGCATCCTGTTTTAGTTAAAACACTACTTCAAAATTTCAGTATCCATAAAACGTAATAACATATTGTTAACATGTGTACCTAATAATAATGAGTTTACTGTTTAGTGAATTTAATACAGGGAGTTTTGTGTAAGTAATTTGTGTTTTTATTAAAGATCATTGTGGTTGAAAAACACATATTTCTGGCTTTTGAAAGAACCCTCAAATATGTTTTGTTCATGCCCTCTCATTCCGAACAGTGCAGGTGTGTTAGGATCAAGAATGTGGGCAAGGTGTTCTGCTGCATCAAGGCAACCATAATATAACTCCCTTGTTTTAATTGTTTAATTTTGTCATTTATATTTAAGGATCAAGTCTGCAAAATAAATTTCGATCCCCAGATGATTATATAATTTTTACAAGCTGAATTAAAGTAGCAAGCTGTCAGTCCTAGCTTCGGTTTGTGAAGTTGAGTAATGTTATCAGGGAAAACATAATTGTATCAAGTCCTGCTTAGTAATGTTATTCTTAGGCTATGGCTGAGGTGTTTATGTTACACTAGCATTTATTCAGTAAGAGTTCAGTGTTTGTACCAAATACATCATTTTTATACGCTCTGGCTTAATGTTAAAATCAAAAAATTAAGGAGGCTTGATTTCATTTTGTGTTTCATTTGTCTATTCCATTGAATTTAAAGCAGAAAAAACAGAACACACAGGTAGTGTGACAGGGATTAGCCCTCTAAAGTGTCAAATTAAGGACCATTGCTCCAGTTTACCTTATAATTTATAAATATTTCTTCTTTTGCTTGAAAATTATTTTTTTTTCAATTTTAAGTTGGCTAAGTATCATCTTATGAGCGTTATTTTCTGATTATTAGCACATTAATGACGTTTTCTTAGCACTGTTTTTTATTTTTATGTGTTTATCTAGCCAGTGGCAGTGGCTAGCTAATCAGCTAAACACTTTCAATGTACACAATGAAATGAATGTCCCTGTGCATTAGAAAAACAATACAAAAAATTATTCATTTAAGAATATTCCCTATATTAATTTTCTTTCATTTTTACCCATGCAGGTGAAGTGGGAGATTGGAAAAACCATTTTACTCCCGAGCAGTCAAAGATGTTTGATGAAGATTATGAAAAGCAAATGAAGGACGTCAATATACCGTTCAGGAGTCTCATCTAGAGGTTCTCCATGGGGTTCTGAAGCGTGTTCTGCAAACCAAAGGCTGATAAACTGACTCTGTTTAGCATTTAAACAGCAGCAGCAGCAGCAGCACTGTCAGCATATATGGCACAAATTTAAAACCAAAAACAAAAGAAAAAAAAATACACTTATGTTTTAACATTCACCACTGTAATCGCTGCACTTCATAACGTGTGTACTCCGAGAAAATGTCATCTTTGAAAAAGTGATTAAATAGGTGCTCCACAAAACAAGAGAAAGAGTTTTTCATTGTCACTTTATTAGAGCTTGTCACGTAAACAATAAATAAGACCAGAAGTGTTGAGGCTGAGTGGACGTGCCCATTTTATGCCATGAGACTTCCATCAGAGTCCGCTGACTGCATGGTACCTACACAGAATTACTGCCGGCTGGAAGAAAAAAATCATTTTTCCTGCCCTTTTGAAGTCATTTTTGCAACCCTACAACACACTGTACAGAGCCCGGCTAAAGCACGGAGGCTGCACGAGACAAAGAGCGACAAAGACTAGAATAAAAGTACTGAGCTGGAAAGTCAATCATATGAAAATTGGACACAAAAACACAACAGTTGAGAATATCCAAGGTTAACAAAAAAATTACTTTTAATACATATTTTAAGTCTTAGAATAAAATCTTAAATATTTTAACACCTTGTCAGCAGACATTCTCTCCTTTAATACAATTCAATCTTCTTCTCTAGTTTGAGGTTGTTTTTATTGGATTTTTTTATTACATTCATTTTAATTTTAATGTTTATTTTCCAGTGTTTTCTCTTCTCTCTTCTATTGTTTGGCTCACTATGGCTCCCCCTTTTGGTTATGATCTCTCTCTCTCTTTCTTCTCGCCTCTCTCTTCAAGAAGATTTTCTTCTCCTACATTTCTACTTCATATGTTCTGTACCTGTTGAAGAGGAAATGGATCAAGTCAGACAATGGTTCAGTTTTTAAGCACATAATGCGGTAAAAAAAAAATTCAACACACAAAGAACAGTGTGACAAAAGAAGAAGGAGCTCTCGTTGACAAACAAAATGTTGGCAACAACCTCAGCATCTTTTGGAAATCATATTAAAACACTAGTTCACTAGTTGATACGTTTGGTAAAATTTAGCTTTAATACACAAATAAAAGTAAAACCTTTTTTTTTTATCAGTCCTAAAATGAATGAATGTTGCTTTAGACTTACCTTGAAGTGAGCAGTTCAAACTCACACTTAATCTAAGGATTATAGTTACAGGATTAATTAATGCTAAACTAGTTTAAGCTAAGTAACTGATTATGCACTGAGTGCTTATCAGTATTAAAATATTAGAAGTTTTAGTAAACTTTTTATAAGGTAAATTTTAGTAGGTAAAAATTTGACCTAATAAAATTCTAAACCCTGAAAGTTTTTGTAATGGGATGCAGGGAAAGCTAACTTGAGTTTTATTAGGGTACTTTTGCTCCCCCACCGACTGGACACTGCCTGTCAGCTGGCTGCATGAGGCTACTATATTTTTTCTGTAGTGTACTTACTTTGACATATATATATATGAATTAAAAATAAAAATAAAAAAACATTTATTTGTAGAGTTGCAACTAAAGGAAATAACTTACCTAAAAGTAAACAGAAAACTATGATAGACAAAGAATTACAGGTACCAGCTTTGGAGTAATGAATTGTGGTACCAATAATTGCTATAATAAATCCTAACAAACGATTATCCCTTTACAAGATTATATTTGCCTGAGCTAAAAAGGCGCATTAAAATAAAAATTGGCTTTCAACATTTTTTGGTGTTAGATTATGCTATTACAATAAAAAATTTATATTTAGTAAATCTGTCTTTTCTAGGGCTGCCAGTATGTGAGGAGGCCGCTTGTCAGATGTGGAAAACAAACAAGACAGGATATGACAATAAACAGCAACAACTCAAATAAGACTCACCTGCTTGATGTCAGAGGCTAAACAAGCAATAAATAAAGCAAAGAAAGAGAAGCTGCACTTTCTCCCTACAAGGCCATTATAAAAAAAATTATATTGTTGTTTATTTCAGTAGGGGTTACACAGACTAGAAGCGAGTACTGTACATAAAAAGCTAAACAAGAACAGACATGAACGGCTAATGGACACTTGGTCACTAGCCAACAAACAGTGGAATACCTTGTTTAAGTTACAGGTTAACGGTGATGGGCTGTTCAAATTTACTCTGGAAATGAACAGAAAGGGTGAGTGAGTTATTGATGAATGGAGAGAGGTGAGAGACATGACATAGATCAGGTAGATGGGGAAAAAAACTTAATGAAAGTTAATGAAAGGATGTGTTAAGAATGGAGATATGAAAACATTAACTTTGTTAAAATATTAATAGATGATTAAAAAAAGACATTTATTAATGAATTGTCTGACAGAGATACCTGGGAGCTCTGATTTATTTTAAAGTACTGGTACTTTAAAAAAAATTAAGATCACTTACTCTCAACATAGTTGCGGGCAAAGAACTTCAACACCTCATCAATGAGGATGACGGGGAAGGAAAGTTTCAGGACCATCATCCACTGGTCCACTGACAGATGGGTCAGTTTGAAGATCATCTGTGGGGTTAAGAGTGGAGGTCAGAGCCCATGGAAACCACACAGGAAGGATAACTTTCAAGAAAAAAAAGATTTGTATGCTTATTTAATTCAGGCACAGAATTGGTACATCTGACTCACAGGCAGAGGATCAACATAGATGATCATGAAGTGCAGGGACATGGACAGGCTCATGGCAGCGATCAGCCAGAAGTTGCTCCATGGGGGCATACGCAACAGAGACTGGTTCTCAGACAAGCTGGAAAAACAAACAGACATATCAGTTGTGGCTTATACAGAAAAAGGAAGATCTTTATGTGTTTGATGGTTGAAAAGTTTAGAACCTGTTGAGGGCGTTGCACATCTCAATAGTGACCAGGACAGACAGGGCCATTGTCATTGGTGGAGTTGCCTCAAAGATTTCACAATCGAGCCCAGTAAAGTCCTCATTCTCATCGTGGCACTGCATGAAGTGGGACTAAACGGAAAACATGGGGGCTAAGAGAGGCAATTCAGGTATGTTGGTGGAAACTCGATTAAAAAAGGCCTCTAGCTTACCAGCTGATAGTAGGTAATGTTGGGACCAGTGGAATCATAAAGGAACCACCAGGCAGCACCACCAACAGTGGCAGCACCAACATATCCTGTTAGGGTTGGAGAGAAGCATCATTGTCGGCACATGTTAACCTACATTTAAATACCCCCAAAACACACAATGTCACACACACCCACAACACTTCTCACAGTCCTGCTTACCACCAATAGCCATGTATCTGAAGAACAGCCAGCCTGAGATCAAAGGTTCCTTGGGGGAACGTGGGGGCTTGCCCATAATATCCAGGTCAGGGGGGTTAAAGCCCAGAGCGGTGGCGGGCAGACCATCAGTGACCAGGTTGACCCAGAGCAGCTGGACAGGGATCAGAGCTTCGGGCAGACCAAGAGCAGCAGTCAGGAAGATACTGAAGACAAAAAAGCAGAACAGCCAAACAGATTAGGTTTTCTGCAAGAACAAAGGGAAGACGTTGCCATGGCTACACAGGAGACTCACCAGACGACCTCACCGACGTTGGAGGAGATGAGGTAGCGGATGAACTGCTTCATGTTGTTGTAGATAGCTCTACCCTCCTCAACAGCAGCCACAATGGAGGAGAAGTTGTCGTCAGCCAGGACCATCTCAGAGGCAGACTTGGCAACGGCAGTGCCAGAGCCCATGGCGATGCCAATCTCGGCCTTCTTTAGAGCCGGGGCATCATTGACTCCATCACCAGTCTGGGGAAGGAAAAAAAAGGACCATTATTTGTTGAATAACTGCAGTAAACATTGCTATATTATCTTACTGAATAACATCACACAGATTAAGTTAGGACTGTATCCCTGTTTACAGAGCTCTTACCATAGCTGTAATATCATCGTGACCCTGAAGGAACTCAACAATTTTGGATTTGTGGGATGGCTCCACACGGGCAAAGCAATGAGCCCTGAGGACAGCTTCAGACTGCTCACTCACGGGGAGGTCGTCAAATTCACGTCCGGTGTAGGCCTTGCCAGTTACATCTTCATCCTCCTTAAAGATGCCAATACGGCGGCAGATAGCAATAGCTGTTCCCTTGTTGTCACCTAACATACAAAGGAAAATATTTGTTCTTAAGAGTATAAATTGGGTGAAACTTTTATCATGAGGTTTGAGGGATTATTACAACACTACAGGAACAGATTGACCATTTATTCTGATATGGCACATAATGTTAACATAACCTAAAATCAGAGTGGTTTAAATTTAGCAATTATTACCCAGAAGCACCAAAATGGTACAAATCTGCTTGTACCTAAAATTAGCAGATTAATCTTTTATTAATAATGATTAGTAAAAGTATTTAGCAATACTAACCAGTGATCATAATGACACGGATTCCAGCATCCCTGCACAGCGCGATAGAGCCCATTACCTCTTTACGAGGGGGATCAAGCATACCCACGCATCCAACGAAGGTCAGATCAGTCTGAAAAAAGAGGTGTGTTAAGTCTGGAATTTTGTCAAAGTGGTAATATGTGGCAAATTATGGATAGGATTATGGTCATGGCTCATAAGCTACACCTATTTACCATGTGCAAGATAATTCAAACTTTTGGTGTTTAGATCTCTTCTGGGGTTTGATTATTTTATTAGGGAAAAAGTCACACATTGAAAATTCAAGATCTTGTCATCCACATGTTTAGTGTGAAATAGAGCTTCACTTTGAAGCTAACAATTTAGTCCTAGTCTGATGTCTTTCTTCAGTGAAGTCCACCAGAGGATGCACTTTCTCCAAAAATCGAGGAGCCTAACATTAATGTTGTTTATATACCCATTAATTTTGTCAATTGCTTTTATCAGTCTGGACTCAAATTACCACTTTTTGTTTTTTTAATTTTTTTATTCACTGAATCTAAAAAAACATAACTGCTTGTAGAACATTGTCAAATAATGAATGATAGACCTATATAGGAATCCAAAATGGCAGGAAGGGCATACAGGATAACAATTCTGCCACATCTATATGCAAGTTGTAAAGACATGCATTGGCGAATAGCTAAAAGGACTCAGTGATATTGTCATATGGTTAAACTAGGGTATTTTGACTCGAGATTAACACACTGTTATTAAGTTATTGTGCACAATATCTGTGTCTTACCCTTCAGGCTG